AATGAGCAGCAAGCTATGAAAGATGACAGCAACGCGAGAAAATTAATTCAAATTAATTAATTAAAAATTAGAATTAATTGTTTTCAGTACAGTTAAACAAAACGAGTAAAATAATAGATGTTTTCTTTTCATTAACTGCGTTTCCTTTGTGGAAGTGTTCCACTACAATCTTTCGATCAATCCTTCAAATAATTTGAAAGCCATTAAATTATACGTGCAGTTATGACATCAGTGAAAGGTTCCAGACATTCTAGATACTCAACAGGTTTTACTACGTTAATTACCCAAGAGTACGTCACACTGTAAGTCAGAAGGCATTAAGTTGGCGATTGAAAATTTGCAAACTCACCCATTTAAAATTCATACATATATGTTAATTCAGGCTTCTTCCGTGGGTCTCATGAGTTGTGATGGTATTTGTTGAAAACGTTAGGGGTGTGGAGATAAGTATGATTTTTACAACATAAACGCTTATTTAGGCGTTTTATTTTGCGACTATTTTGCGTTATTCAGCTCATCCTGAATTATGTCGAAATTTAGGAAACCCCGTGAAAGAGATTTAAACGATTTCGATGTGGGATGTGAATAATGTTATGATACCAAAAATCTTGCTTAGAACATACTCGTCACTAAACATACAATGGACCACGTTTTTCTGAATAGCACCTTAGGCAATCATACATTCATTTCCCTCAAGTTATAAATTAAACAAAATGAACAAACAGTTCACAGAGGAGATGTGAAATTCATTGATGCTGAGCAAATATCTTTTATCAGTAGGCCTGAAGGTACTTTCATTCGTACCGCGAACGATATTTATTACCTATGGAATTGCTAAGATCACTTCTTTGCCGCCAAACGATGTTCGAGGTCAACTAGAACACAGTAAAAATCTCAGCGAATATTGATTAACTGGGATAACATCTTATACTTACTTTTCAGAAATCTTAAAAATCTTATCTGAAAGTAAAAGTATTTTTATTATGTTGATTATCAATTGTATACACATACAGACATGTGCCAGTGAGATGGTCCGAAAGTTAGGTCTAAAAATAAGGCTCTTTGCACGATGGCTGTTACATTCCACTCCAGTTTGGTTTTTGAAACGCGGATAATTGATCCGCTCGTAGACGAATATCACTTAAGATAATAGTTCACCCTTTCGTTTCAGGCACCAAAGGTTTTTAGTAAAATGTATGATATCACTTAACAATAGTTATAACAAAATGTTTCACAAACCTTCAGAGAGAATTTCACAAGATACTAAACCAAATGTTTGAAACCATTAATTACCAAGGTTTAAATTATAAATAAATAATTTTGAAGTCTGAGTAAAATAGTTAAATTCAAAATCCAATAAAATAGTGAGATTCAAAACCTCCCAAAAAACTAGTTTTTCTGTTATTTCATACATTTGTAAAATGCACCTTAGATTTGTGGTCAACCATATTCACTCAGTTTTTTACAGCCTCAGTATACTTCGATTTTATTAAGACGTGAATTATTAGTAATCCGTTCTAATTGTTGCTTCTGCGTTCCAAAACATCAAAATCCATGTCCTGTCTTCTCTACTTAATAGGCCGAGATAAAACTCTGAACTACACGCCTCGAGATTTCATACATGGTATGACAGATAAGCTGAAGCGTCATAAAGAAGGAAGTGATGGTTTTAGGTGATAACAATTTTTATTATTGTTTCCCCGATACGACCGAGTATTCTGCGTAGCATTAATGTGAGTTCAACCGCATAATTTACGACCATTATTCATTTCAAGCTACACCCCTCAATACCTGTGTTTTCTTGTCTCATACAGGCAGTTCGTTAACAAATAACAAATAACTTCTCCATATACATGAAGATATAAACGACTGAATATAGGTGTCAAATTTCAGTACCGGTATCTTATCAAAAGAAAATACAGTCTACTGCAGAACACAAATGTAGAATCAAATTTGATGTATTTGTTTGGGAAAATTCCTCCATATATATATTCATAATATGTTCTTACCGACACTTTCTGTGCTACATTTTGGTTCACTGTTTGATCATATTTTGGGGTTATTATTGGTAAGTTGTTATAGTTTCTATTTTTGTACCTTTACTGGAGTTTCTATGTTTTCTACTGAACTGTGTTATGCTGTTTAAACTGATACTTAATTATGGTATCA